TTCACCTGTTAGCTCTCGACCCCTGGGTGTCGAAGTTACAGGAGTACTCTGGAACGATTAACCAGGCCGGGTGTGACCTCGGGAAGCTTAGCCTTGTCCCGTCTTAGCCTTGGGTTGTTGTTACCATCTCTATTGGCATTGGTTGCTTATGGAAGTTTTATACTTTTAGTCGTTCCACTACATCAGGCGTGATTGATTGAACCAATGGCCATGCAGTTTCACTGCGTGAATGAAAAGGCTTCAGTTAAGGAGAAAAAAGGCTTTTTTCCCATATGCGTCTAGCAAGACGCAGTACACGTTCCCGTATCTCAGGGAACCGAGGTTACGTTAGTAACCGAGAGTACTCGTTCCCGTATCTCAGGGAACCGAGGTTATGTAAGTAACCGAGTACGTTTTCAGACTGCTCATCTGAAGGTACAGCTGAGTCTTGTTATTGTCTCTTGAGATCGTTCCTTAACCTTGTCAGAGTAGGAGAGATAGATATTGGCATTATATAGTGTTGCTACCCACTCTGGTCCTTTCCCAGCAGCCTGTCTGATCCAAGCCATCCAGGAGCCACCAAAGCTAAAACCAGAAGCAGCACAGGTCAGTTTATGTGACTCTCCTGGTTTAATGACTACAGCATCAGATTCCACCAGTGTCTGGCTCCTGCAATCTGAAAACTGAGAAAACAGCAGAATTTAGAATCATTATTGCATATTACTGTGCAAATTATAGTGTGCACTGGAAAATTGTAAGTTTTTTAACAATATTTTTGCAGTACCATGTAATGAAAAGATCATTAGCACAACAAAGAAAATCGTCCTCTGCTTCATTATTAACCTGTTGTCATAAGAAGTTGTGGTAGAAATGCTGCAGACGGAGGAGTGGAGGTAATTTATAAATACAGTAGATTGCAACGAGAAAGACTTTGCATACTTGGGGTGCCATCTAGTGGCTGAAATATAAAGAGAAAGGTGAACCACCTAAAATATCTAAATCTCAGAACTCTCACTGACTCTCTTGCAGCCCAGTCAGGGCTTCAGTTGCCACCATCTAAAAGAAAACACCTTTGTTACTGTAAGCTATTATAGTCAGGTTGATACATTCATTGATTTTTTTTTTCTTGAATAAAGCCATCTATTTACAGTAGATGTTAGCACATTTTAATCTGCCTGGCAAAACATTTTGTGTACTTTTTTTTCTGCTGACAAAACTTAATGAAATCTGTAAGAATGTACTCTTTACAGAGTTTTTCATGCTCTGTTTATGTTTATCAATGTTCAAGTGATTATGACTTTCTATATTTCACTGGATAGTTCTAATTATTTTTTTCATGCTTCTCTCCAATGAAAGCAGCAGAATTCAGTTTAATCAGAATTTAACTATTTTAAAATGATTTCACATATGCCCTTGCAGTAAATGTCTTGCAGTGTAGTTTGATTATTTGTTACATTATGAATATAACACTCCATATTTCTGCAAAGCCTGCTCCTTCATTAAATCATCATTAAGTGCATTGTATTCTGATGGTCTTTATTTGAATTAGTTTGCATATGTATTTAAAACATGTTAAAACATAATAAAACATATCATATTTAATTTGTGTGGGAAAGTGACCAATAAAGCTGACAGAAAGTCCTCAAAGAGAGCAACTCTTTAATTCCCCAGAGATATGAATGTTCTAGTCACGTCTGACTGACTTCACAAACACCATACAGGTTTTTGATGAGTGCTGCAGCCTTTTGTGTAACTGTGACTCTTTTGCACAGTAATAAACAGCCGTGTCTTCAGTTTTCAGACTTTTTATCTCCAAGTACACCATGTTTTTGCTGGTGTCTTTTGTGATGGAGAATTGGCCTTGTAGAGACTGAGCAAAAACAGTGCCAGTGCCACTGTCAATACGCCCAATCCACTCCAGTCCTCTCCCTGGTTTCTGCCGGATCCAGTGCAACCAGCTAAGGGAGAGTCCAGAAACCACACAAGACAGTGTGACTGATTCTCCGGGTCTCTTTACCTCAGAGCCAGAGGAGGTCAGTGACTGACCATGTGCATCTGGAAAAGAGACAGAATGTTCGTGTAATTACAACTTTGGGTGTAAATGTTCACATTCAAAACCTTTTTTAATAATATTTTTAATAATATATTTTTTAATGGTAAACAGATTTCAACTTACATGAAACGAGTACGAGCAGAGTAAAATAACTCAGATTCATCTTCAGATCAATGCAGTTCCATGCAAAAATTATGCTTCTGGTGTTTGATGAAGCTTTTAAAAATCCAAGCGTTCATTAGTGAGAACTGACTGTACTTTATATTTTAGACTTAATTTGAATAAGGGAGGGTCTTTAAAAACTCAGTCTGCTGCGATGCCCTCAGGGTCCCATGCACCATTAATCACAATTCACC